AAACAAAGTTTTGAAAACTTACGTTGCCACCACCCGAATTCCATGAGAAGGCCATGACATCGCCGGGGCTGCCCTTTGCGATGCCAGTGACTGCCGTCGCGTCTTGTCCGCAGTTGATGTTAGAATTGTCGGCGCCCTTCACAGGACTGGTGGTAGAGATGACTCGCACGACGCCAGCGGTTGAACCGGACGCCGGTGCAGAGCCAGAAAAGTCGGTGCCGCCAATGTTGACATTGTTGACATATCCGTGGGCGCTGACGGACGAGATGGCATAGGCAAGGATGGGGAGAGAGGCAAGTAAGAACTTCATCGTGTAGTTGATCGGAGTGATGATGGATAATGGATGGTATACAATGTATTGAGCGTCGATGCGCAGCAAGGAGCTCGGGGTCGTAAGCGGAAAAGAAAGGAAGGGGACGATGAAGCCTTGGGGGGACGCGGAGAAGGGCAGAAGTGAGAGGCAGAAACCGAACCTCAACCGCGCACTTTATATCGATCGAGGTTGGCATTTCCCCTTTGGGCTGCGACGTACAAACAACCAAATAGTATTTCAATAGACCCTGAGCCATTGTCCGTTGAGGCTAATATTGGAACATTGGCTATTATTGTTGCTCCCGAGTACATGGTACAGGCCACACGCATAGGCCACTGTGAATGGCCAACAATGCGACAAGACGCACAACGCCTTTCTCGGCGGTGGTCTCTTGTTCCGTCAACGGATCTAACCCAATCATTGTCATCCCGATGGTGCCTGGCCTCACCTATTCCACATGTTTTGTATGTTCCCAACACCGAGAATATATACACTGGGCGCATGTTCTCGTCCAGCCTCCAGCCTCTTTCATTCTGTTTGATTTTCGACGCACGGGGAGAATGCGAGACTCATGCTCACACCGCTTCGCCCCTTGATACAGCCTCGATTAATTCATCGACTCCAACGCATGCATGTTCTTTCCGGCGAGTGAAGACCGCAGACGAGCCGAATTGTTCTGTCGAACAGTCATTTGTCCACGGCATTATTCCTTCAGCGGCGAATGCATATGCTCTTCGACTTCTTCCCAACGGAGCCGAGGTATCCACGAACGACTGGACAACAATCACAAAATCCGACTTTATGCTCACTCCATCCCATCCAGGGTATCCACTTGCTCCATCATCGGCCGCCTACCAGACACCATCATCGAGTCCAAAACACACCCTCCGCCGGCTGTACACTCGTCGACAATTGTGATCACTACCGTTCATCTCCGGAAGCTGTCTGTCAGAGTGTCGGTCGGGGTATGAAAGTGTAAGTTACCAGTGGCGCCTGACGACAGATGGACCGTCTCCGACTCTTCCTCATGGGCCTGCGCTTCCCCTTCTTCCTTTACAAGACAATAGCCATCCTGTCGTTGCCAAACCGCAGCATCCTGGCCCTGGGCTTGAGCCTTTGTGTCTTGACGACAGATGAAAGGCGGCGGTGAAGATGGGGATTGGATTTGTCGTACTTTGTTGTGTTCGCGATACAAGGCCAATACTTACGGTGTCACGCAGACTTTGATGGAAGTTATGACGTATTCGACGAATTCGTTGTCGCGACTGTCTTCTGCGATCCTAACTTGACACTTGACTAAGTCCGATATCTTATCCGTCAGTCGACAATGACTGTCAAGGTCGTCAACACAAGATAAAGGAATACAAAGAGCAAGGCAGCTAGACGTCACCAGTGTGTCGTAGTGGCCGTCGTTCTATCATCCATTCACATTCACAGGTCAAAAACAGGGCAAAAAACTTTCAGAAAGGTCGGTTCTAAGGGTTTAAGTACCCAAGCGGAACTATCCATGTGCGCAAAGTCGTGATGTGCTTTTCCAAGCTTGGGACTAGGAGAGTTACCGGGATACCAGCGAGGAAAGTCCTCAAATTTGAGGGTCAGCCTCATGAGCACGTACATGAGTGGGACCAGCAATGCCGGCAGATGCAGGTAGGGCCATACATCCCAGCGGTCCGGAGATGGGCAAGTGTCTTCCTTGTCTGCGCCGTATTCCTTGAGCGTGGGTGGTGGGCATCGCGCGCAGAGGTAGAGAACTACTAGATGTCGGCAACTCCTCGAATGTAGCGAATGTATATATGCGTTCAGGATGCCGACCAGTACCACGTTGGCTTTGCTGGACTCAATAACGGAACTGAATCGTGCAGAAGTTAATCATGTATCTTCCGGAGTTACCAAAATTGGATGATACTTAGTATTATGGGCGCTTCGGGTACCCGAACGATGTTCCGCGGTATGGCCTTGGGAGCTGGACAGTTCGTAGAGGTTTTCACGGACGTCGGGGTCAAGCCCATAGCCAATTTGAGCTCGTCGACCCGAAGAAGAAAGGCCAGAAGACACGTATTTGCGAGCGTTGAGTGCATAGATTGACGCAGAACAAACGCCTAGTCGAGCTGCAGGACGTATGTAAGGGACGTTGCGGTTTAAAACATCAGCGCTAGCCATTCGTCGAAAATGAACGGAAGCAAGTTCCCAACTGCCGGCGGCCCTCGCGGTCGGTCGATGGCGTCTAGAACAAATAAGGAAAAATTCGCTCTGTCTTACCGTCATGTTCGCGGTTCTCACTCGACCCGTTGCCCGGCGTACACTAGGCTACGCGACGCGATGTATGGCGTCGCAGCCCCCACCGCCGCCGCCTCCCCCAAAAAACCCCAATAAAGCGCAAGACGAATCATCACCCGACTTGGCGCCTGTCCCGAACGAGCCGCTGCCCAGCCTCGACGTGTTTACAGACGAAGGCCGCACGGGGGCGCGGTCGTCAAAGGGGAGCCTGTCGTCCGCGGAGATGCGGCGGCGGCGGCTGGGCGGTATAGCCGGGATCGCGTTCGCGGGTCTCGTGGGTGTGCAGCTGTGGATGCTCACCGGAGATTGGACAGAGGCGGAACTCAAGGCAAAAAAAATGGTGCGCGCGCCCCACGATTAGGGTTCATTACGTTGTGCTCAGCGGTCGTTTTGTTAGACGCTGGAGAATGCCCCGTCGACTCGGTACGGTCGGTTGATCGAGCGGTTTAAGGACTTTTTTGGGGTGCGTGTCATTCATCCGTGAGATAAAGCGTGCCCTCAATTTTTTGGGATAGCTCTTCAGTGAGCCCGCATGGCCCGAGCTCTTACCCCCTCCCTACCCTCCGCCGCATGGGAAACCGTACACACTAATACTCTCCCTCGACGATTTACTAGTAACATCCACCTGGGATGTAAGTCTTACTCTCTTTCCACCCGCACGCCACTCACCTACTCATGTGTCCAGCGACAAAACGGCTGGCGCACCGCAAAACGCCCGGGAGTCGACTACTTCCTCGCGTACATATCCCAATTCTACGAAGTCGTCGTCTTTACCACACAGCAGTCCTACTCCGCCGAACCGATCCTCCAGCACCTTGACAAGTTCAACTTTTTCATTACGCATCGTCTGCACCGCGAGGCTACGCGTTCAGTACAGGGCAAGACTGTTAAGGACATTTCTTATCTGAACCGCGACCTCTCAAAGGTCGTCATGATCGACACTGTTCCAGAGCATGTCTCTGCCCAACCAGAGAACGCAGTGGTAGTGCCGAAATGGAAGGGGGATTCTAAAGACCGTGGTCTCGTTGCTCTTATACCATTCCTTGAATGTATGTCTTTTCACTATTTTGCTTTTTTCCACTCGCCTAACCATCTCCAGCCATCGCCATTTACAAACCCGTCGATGTCCGACCCATTCTCACCGCTTACCAGGGCAAAGACATTACTTTAGAGTACGCCAAGAAGGAGGCAGAGAGCAAGCAGAAGCACATCGAAGAGTGGGAGAAGAAGAAGACCGCCCCGAACGCTTTTGGCGCCATGTTTGGGCTCTCGAACCGCGACTCTACGATCCCCCCGACGTATCTCGAGATGAAGCGCAAGGAGGCGCAGCAAACCTACGCGGACGAGCAGGCGTATATTGCGCGGAACAGGGCCCACCTGGAGAAGCTGCTCGAGCAGGAGCAGCAGGCGATGATGGCGGGGGCCCCGACGAATCTGTGGGATGCGTTTGGGGCTATGGGGGGTGCGCCGCCACCGCCGCCGCCGCCGCCCGAGACTCTGGTGGAGGAGGGGAAGAAGTAGGGACGATATTCACGATTAATGGTGTATCTACTATAACATCTTTGACCCACCTCAATACTAGAATAATTTCTACGATGCAAGCAGAGAGGTATCTTTGACCGAGAAGCATACGCCGCTCTACTAGTACCTCTGAATTCAGTGACGAACTAGAGATAAGTCCAAGGTACATTATTGATACCAGGGCATGATCACTTCATGTGATGGCATGCTAGTGCTCAGAGAAGCTGAGAGTGGTGGGACAAAGGCGTAGCGCGCCACATCACGTGCCGGTATCGAAACTGTAGTAACTAACGGTTTCGAATCGAGGCTTCCCCGGGTGGTGGGTATCAATACTGTTTACTAACAACACCCTTGAATCTTGACTCGAAGGCTTAATGTGCCGCGCCATCCTAGGCCCACTGTCCACCATTTCGGATTTCCACTAGGGTTGCACAGGCCCCAATATGGCGCCGTTGGATATTTAACAGTTAATCTAGTTAAACTAGGTTAATAACACCCCCAAGCCTTAAGCACGTGATCGGCGGGCATGGTGTCGGCGGGAAGCAGCGGGACCAGGCAGGAACAGGTCAAAGGGTAGTCAGGACCCACAATAAATGCTACATGGCAGAACCTTAAATTGACCCTTTCTGCACCATAGGTGTCAAAAATCTGAGCAGGAACGAGAAAATGCGCCACAAAGCATCACGTGGGTGTTATTAACCGTTATTAACACACCAAAAATTGGGATATATCCCGCTCATGTTATTAACCGGGCGGGAGAATATACTGCGCAACCCTAACTTCCACTGTTCAGCTTGCCAATTTCCAAAAAGATTCAAGAAAAAAGCAAAAAGCAAAAAAACTGTCTGCTAGAAATAGACGTTTGCAAAAACAGTTCAGCAGAATGGGATGGCCAACGTGGGGATCGAACCCAAGACCTTCGCGTTATTAATCATCTATTATTAGCACGACGCTCTAACCAGCTGAGCTAGTCGGCCGATGTACGGGGTTTCATATCCTTATACACCATTCATGCAGTGTTGGAGGCAGACCAGACTGCCTTTCTCGACGCACCACGGAGCAGCAGATTCAGAGGCTTGCATGCAATGGAGCCGAGTTGAAGTCAACGGCATGGCAGCTTACAACTATGGAGGAAAGATCGGACATGACAATGAGCCCAAAACGAGTGCGAAAAAGATAAGGACGAATTCCCCTCCACAGAAGCGCATACCGGTAGGATATGGCGGCTCGGTCTACTAGAGGCTCCTTGGGCTATTGCAGCCAAGTCACAACTTACGACTCGGTGGGAGCAAGGTTCTGCGCAACCAACAGAGGCCGGGATCTTTCATGGCATGGTCGTCCTCACGAGCATCTTTTAGTGTTTATGGTGATTCCGATATTCAGGGAGGAAGGACTCGAAGTGGAAAAAAAAGTTACAAACACCGGATCCAGAACTGAACAGAAGGGCATACCGGTAGGATATTGCGGCTCCAGGAGGCGCGGGTTGAAGCCTTTGGTCAATGAATTAGGTCTTCCGTTGTCGGTTTCCCAGTATACTCTTCATAGTGGAAGACTTGAGCATCTGCTTCACGGGCGGCCGTATGACCAAGTAGATTTGGCGGCATCTCATGAGTTCTCTTTCAAAGTCTTTTTAGTGCCTTGGGGTTTGTGTGCGACGGCGGCATAGTTCCCGGATAGCTACCGCCGAATACAGCCAAGTTGTGGTAGTACTACAAGGTTTCTGATCAGGACCTACCATAGACTCGGAGGAGAGATCATGAGATCATGACAATGAGTCGAAAACGAGGAACATGTGGTGAAAAAAGACGCCGGATCCGGACTTATGGAAGCACATACCGGTAGAGTACTGTGGCTCGATGTATTAGACACTGATAAAGGGCAAGAGTGGCCAGCCGTTGTTGGTTAGGTGTACTTGTCGTGATCTGCTGTGGGCCGTGTACCAGCCTAAGGGCAAGTTGTTGCACATTCGACAGAGGTGGCATAGCCGAGTCGGTACTTGGGCGATCCTCACTGTTCGTTTCGGATTCTTTTTAGTGTCTATGGCAATTCGGGAAGAGGGACTCGAAGTGGAAAAAATGAATAACTGCAGCACTGGAGGCTCAAGAAGGGCATACCGGTAGGATATTGCGGATCCAGTCGAGGTGTGGCTTGAACAAGTGTTGAAGCACTTTGAATGAATCCCGTTGTCGATGTCCCATATACTTGAGCGGGCCGTATGACCAAGTAGATTGGGGCGACCTCATTCTGGCTTAGGAAATGCTTTTAGTGCCTTGCGGTTCGTAGCGGGGAAATGTAGAGTCAGAGCTGAGTGGAAAATACTATGGAACAGCCGGTACTTGAGCACCTTGAGCGCGATATATAGAAGCACATACTGGTAGAATGATGCGGCTCGATCTGTTGGACACTGACGGGGGCTCCGTGGGCGCAATGAAGAAACACAATTGGAGTGGAGGTTCGCAAACCACAGAGCTTGTATGGCCGAGTCGGTACTTGGACAAAGCTCATACGTAAGGATCCACCTTCCATGTTTTAGTACTCGGGATTACGACAGAAGCACATACCGGTAAGGTTCCCCTCGGTCAAATAGTTGTTAGTCGGACACAGCAAGCAGTTATCATTAGTAGCAGCCAGTACACAGGGATTACAAGGAAAATACAACAGTCTAGGTCTCGCACCTCACGACGACGCCCGCCCAAGCCATGACAAAGTACGCAAAACCGAGGGGAACAATACACCTCCTCGTGACGGCGCCCCAGTCCCATCTACGCCCCCTCCAGGTTCCTCCCCTCCAGCGAGCCTCCTTGCGACCTCCGTTACCAAGTGAAGACGGCCTGGTCAAGGCAGGAGGCATAGGACCTGTCTCGAGTCTCCAGAGATTACTGGTGACCCACATCTGCACCGCACGACTAATAGAGGTGCACGTGGCGATAAACGCCCACACAGCCTGAGGGATCTCTTCTTCTTTGACAGGGAACGCGCTGAGGGACATGGAAGTGGCACTCCAGCATATAGCTTGGAGGGCGAGGAGGCGGACGAGTGTGGGGAGGGGAGGGTAATACGTCCGCCAACGAAAGAGTAGGCCCGATGTCAAGGCGAGGCACTGGTATGCGGTGAGGAGGGTAAAGAGGAGGGCGGTGAGGGTATCGAGGGGGTGATGGGAAGAAGAGTCCCATACAATGCAGACTGCACTACAAACAGCGGGGACAACGCTGAGGAAGCGGGCGACACCAAAGAGAATGTCGAGGGAGTGGCTGTGCGGAGTCTGGGTTTACGTGCAACCGGAAGTCGGACCGGTCCATCCTCGTCCGTTTCTGTCATCGGCGTCGTCGTGCTAATCGGTCGGTGTGTGGGCAAAGAGGGTAGAGGGAGAGGTCGGAAGAGGAGGCGGAAGATGAAGGAGGACGCGACGGAGGACGAGAAGCAGGAGGAGGAGGAGAGGCCATGTAGAGCGCGTCTTCGTCGTCGCTGCTATCTTCACGACGGGCTACGGTTATCGGAGCGAGGGGTTGAGGAAAAGACGGCCAGCTGCGCGTCGGAGAGGGGGAGCCAGGTGGAGAGGGTGTGAGTATGGGCGACGGTGGCCGAGTGCGGCTGCGTATTGACGAGGGAGTGGGCGTCTGCTAAACTAAGTCAAAAAGATGATAGATATTCTGGACACACACCTCGTTTCCGCTATCGTATGGCGGTGGGAGCAGCTCTGTATACGTGCGTGCACGCCGCCGCATGGTCGCCGTCGCCATCGTCGCCGCCAATCTTCAAACCACGTCGATGACCGTAGCAGTTCAAATGAAGCTCTGATCGGCAAGGACCGGGGTGCCCTCCTTATCTTCTGTCCCATCATCACCATTCAACAACACCTCTCGTTCTCGCTGAATGCGACGTTCCATAGTCAATGTCGTATCTTGCTTATCTATTCCGACAGCCCGTGCCAAGGAATATTCCCTCTCTACGTAAACATGCTCATTATGTACATCCCATGTCCGGTGCTTCACCGAGCCTGAATGCATCCAGTCTGAACAACAGACAAGCCCCTCACCGCCTATGATTCACTTGCGCTGGAGCTTGAGCTCAAACGCCCGTGCCCTACCTCACATCTACATGGTCCGCTTTCGGGTACTTACATGATGTTGCTATTCGCATGCATTATTTTGTTCATAAGCTAGCACTGTCCTGTTCACTCTTGGTACCCACCGCCTAATCTCTTCTGCGCCGCTTCTTGCCATTAGGATTAGGATTCTCGTCCTTTCTTTCATGCTCAAGGCGCTAAACAATGCGGTAAAAACGAGGTCTTGAATGGAAAGAGTGCCATTGATAAGAGCATACCGAGTTACGGTGAAGATCCGTACCCAACATTCATCAGCCTGTGCATCGCACTGCTCAGCACAGTCGCTGATCCTCCATCCTCTGCTAGCACACCCAGCTCATCCTCATCACCCATGATTCTTTCAACATATAGCCCTGCCCCGAAAAGTGCGCAACCTTGCAGCACACGGCGTGGAGCTCCAGTAAATCCTCAGACGGGACTGGGAGATGTTCGGCGTCTGGAGTGGTCAAGGTAACTGCGGAGTGCGGTAGCAAACGTCCTCTCTTGTTTGAGCAAACTTTGTAGCGATTTTCCCCCTTTTCATCTAAGTCAGAAAGACTAGGCTAGCTAGGAGATACGCACAAGCTTCTCAAACCACATTTCAAGACGGTCAAACCAGTCCTGCCTGTTGACATCCATGGTCATGACGTTAGAGAGCGAGTGAACGTTGATCTTTTGAATGTCACAGCCGAAGCACTGGAGTACTGCCAGTACGGAGGCAGCGTAGTCGCGCTGCATTATCAAAAAAGTGTTTCTTTCAAGGCAAACTTGGGCACACCTCCTTAACCACCGCAAAATACGTGAATTCAGGCACGATGTACGCACAGTGCGTGTACACCGTTCCACCGTGCGCCAGAGCCTGCGCAGCTGTGAGGCCGAGCTCGGTGAGCGCCGCCTCGTCATATACACCGCTGACGACACAACGGAAGCCATCGCGAATCAGGGCCTAAGAAATATGTACAGGTCGCCAAGGTACACAGAGGGCACACACCTGGTTCTTGGCATCCTTGTGGTCTTGCGGGGCGTTCGTCTTAAAGGACTCGTTCCGCGACGACTGGTCGGAGGAGGCTGGGGTCTTGAACTTCTTCTTGACTGGGAGGAGGGCTTAAGCCCCAAGTCAATCACAGAGAGGGAAAGCACTCAGTATTACACGGACGAATGAAATAGTCGATGAAGCTCTCGCCGAGCCGAGATAGTTGGTGGTAGTCCTGTCCGCATGAGTGGATGACGTTGACCACTTCGGCAAGCGCGTGCGGGCGCACGGTTGTGTGGAGAATGAGGTACCCAAGGACTCGCGCGTGAAGCAAGGCGCTCGGGTCGTCGCGCGCGTCGGCCCAAGTTTGGAATGTGAGACAGACATTATATGCGCTCACAACGTTGGGGTCTAAACGGGTGTTCGCGAGAGCAGGAAGGGCGGTCATGGTGAAAGCACAGAGATGATTGTTATTATGGTCGTGGATGCTAAATAAGATGTGAATCTAATGCGGGTGCTCACTGCTGCGAGAAGACGATGCCAAACACGGTGAAACAGCGCGTAGGGCGGTTTCAGTCTGACTCCAAGTGCATAGAGTGGAAATCGCGATTACTTTCGCATTTCAGAGCGCATATGCATCTGACATGCCGTCTCAGAACTGGGGAATATTCAGCGAATATCGAGAATGTACTGCGTCCAGGAGAAAGAGGCTCTTTGTGGCTAATGATCATGATATGCGAGTTGAGGACCTACACGGAGAAACGATACTACGTGAGCTTTCAAGTTACGACAAATAGCGCACCACCTATTCGAGTACAGCTTGATCGCCGGTGCCAGATGATAGGGTGTTCGTTGATATCAAAATGTCGCATACCACCGCCCAACCATATCTAGACACGAACATTGGACTTGATTGATGA